GACCAAGCACAGCCACTGGGTCGTTGTAGCTGCCACCAGGCCTGCTGAAGGAACACCAGCAAGTTTCATCAGACTCGTAAAGTTTGTTTTTGCTGGGGACCCCCTGTATTTTACCGCTCCCTCCTGCAGTCTTCCCCTATTAAAATTTAAAATGTGTAACTTTATGTATTGGGATGAATGACTAATATTCATGTTAAACTAAAACGTTAGGCATTTAGGGGGAAAAACAAAATAATAAACATTATACAGATGTCAAATAAATCAAACTGTAATTAAACTATATATTTTCAAAGTCTCGATTCTGGATAAAATCCAACAACATATGCTTTATAAATAACAAACACTCCACATGCCTTTTACACACACACACACACACACACACACACACACACACACACACACACACACACACACACACACACACAATCACACACACAATGCGCAATGGCGGCGCTGTAGACGACAGCGGCGTCCTGACCATTCACAAGCTTGCGCTGTCCGTCTCGTTAAACGGATGTTTAAAAAAGTGGGCTCGACTCCGTGCGTACGTGCGTGCCTGCTGGGGCCCTACGCAAGGACGGATAATGGAGTTGCGTGTCTCCGCACTGACGCAGGAGAAGCATGAATCAGGCTTAAGATCAACCCTCCTATATTCATGAAACCAAAGAAGTCCAATTGCCTTCTTTAAAAATCCATTTGATGTCATACTGAACAACTGTTGTATTTGACTCTAATTTTAATGATTCTGTTTCAGGTGGAAATGCTGTGTGATTCCTGTTGTCACACCCGGTCATGTCTCCCCGTTTAGTTCAGCCTTGTGTCTCGTTGATTACTCCCACCTGCCTCTCATTTCCCAATCACCTTAGCTCCCAACCCTCCTGTATTTAAACCCTGTCTGTTCTTTGTACTGTGTCGGATCATTGTTTCATTGTCCAGCGTGCTTAATAAATCCTGGTTGACCGTTCCTACCTGCTGCCTGTTTACTCCCCGGTCTGGATCCACGCCTTTCCTCCGCTTCACTCCGCAGCGCGCTGACAGAATGATCCGACCCAAACCTGTTGTGAGATCCAGCGAGGAGATTCTCCCGTGGGAGCACCTGCTTCAGTGGCTCACTCCGAGCCACCACCCAGCTTCTCCATCGCCTTCCCCTGCTTCAGTTCTGCCTCGCTGAAAACGCCGTCCTCGGCCATCAGCCGCAGCAATCCTCGCTGCTCTCCCGGAACCGGACGAGGGGTCGGACCGGGAGCCGCTTCCGGATCGCTCCAGCTTCGTGGGCACCCGCCTGGCTGTGTGCTCCCCGGGAGTTGGCCCACGGCGTGGGGAGGCATGCCGGGCTCCACCGCAGCGGCTGGTCCCTGGACGGAGCCGCGAGCTCGCTGCAGTTCTGGCTCAGTGCGCCAACTTGGACACGCCCCCAGTCAGACCAGCAGTCCCGTCTCCGGTCCAACCAGCGCCTTCGTCATCTGCAGGCGGAGGAACCACGCCCACAGCCCAGCTGATGGAGCTCCAGGCGGAGCTCGACCGGATCCGCCAGCTCGTCAGCCTCCAGGAGAGTCACCTGGACACTCTATCCTCCCCGAACCGCCAGGAGAGGAGCGAGCCCGTCCACCCAGCGGAGCTCGCTGGTCTCCGGGCTGAACTGGCCCAGCTCCATCGAACCCTCAACCTCCAGGAGCTTCAGCTGGACGGGCTGTCCCCCCTGCTCTCACGGCTTCCAGCCCTACCAGTTCCACCACTTCCAGTCCAGCCTGTCCAGGCAGCCCCTCCTGCAGCTGCCTCGCCTCCACTCCAGAGGGCCCAGAAGCAGAAGGGACGGGCTCAGAAGCAGAAGGGATGGGCCCAGAAGCAGACGGTTCCGGTTCTGGCCCCGAAGCGGACGGGTCGGCCCCAGCAGTCGGCGGTCCAGCAGTCGGCGGTCCAGCAGTCGGCGGTCCAGCAGTCGGCGGTCCAGCAGTCGGCGGTCCAGCAGTCGACGCCCCCGGACCAGAAGTCGACGCCCCCGGACCAGAAGTCGACGGTCCAGAAGTCGACGGTCCAGAAGTCGACGGTTCAGGGCTCTGTGGCCGACGCCCCTGCCAGTCCTGTGGCCGACGCCTCTTCCTCGTGTTCTGAAGTCGACGCCCCTGATGACGTCGCCTGTCCAGAAGTCGTCGCCCCTGATGACGACGTGTCCGAAGTCGTCGCCTCCTCCTCTGATGACGACGTGTCCGAAGTCGTCGCCTCCTCCTCTGATGACGACGTGTCCGAAGTCGTCGCCTCCTCCTCTGATGACGACGTGTCCGAAGTCGTCGCCTCCTCCTCTGATGACGACGTGTCCGAAGTCGTCGCCTCCTCCTCTGATGACGACGCGTCCGAAGTCGTCGCCTCCTCCTCTGATGACGTCGCGTCCGAAGTCGTCGCCTCCTCCTCTGATGACGTCGCGTCCGAAGTCGTCGCCTCCTCCTCTGATGACGTCGCCTCCTCCTCTGATGACGTCCCGTCTGATGATGACGTCCCGTCTGATGACGTCGCCTCTTCCTCTGATGACGTCCCGTCTGATGACGTCGCCTCTTCCTCTGATGACGTCCCGTCTGATGACGTCGCCTCTTCCTCTGATGACGTCCCGTCTGATGACGTCGCCTCTTCCTCTGATGACGTCCCGTCTGATGACGTCGCCTCTTCCTCTGGTGACGTCCCGTCTGATGACGTCGCCTCCTCCTCTGGTGACGTCCCGTCTGATGACGTCGCCGCCTCCTCTGATGACGTCGCCGCCTCCTCTGATGACGTCTCCGAAGTCGGCTCGTCTGACGACGTCGCCGCCTCCTCTGATGACGTTGCCGCCTCCTCTGATGACGTCTCCGAAGTCGGCTCGTCTGACGACGTCGCCGCCTCCTCTGATGACGTCCCCGAAGTCGGCTCGTCTGACGACGTCGCCGCCTCCTCTGATGACGTCCCCGAAGTCGGCTCGTCTGACGACGTCGCCGCCTCCTCTGATGACGTCCCCGAAGTCGGCTCGTCCGATAACATTGCCGCTGCCTCGTCTGGGGATGCTCTTTGCACTCAAGAGGCCGACGCTCCATCCGGCCCGGCGTCTCCACGGTCTCCGGTTCCGATGGTGGTTTTGAGGGCAACGCCGGCCCAGCCTGCAGTGACTTTGTCGCCGGTCCAGCCTGCAGTGACTTTGTCGCCGGTCCAGCCTGCAGTGACTTTGTCGCCGGTCCAGCCTGCAGTGACTTTGTCGCCGGTCCAGCCTGCAGTGACTTTGTCGCCGGCCCAGCCTGCAGTGACTTTGTCGCCGGCCCAGCCTGCAGTGACTTTGTCGCCGGCCCAGCCTGCAGAGCTCCTCCTCTGCCGCAGGCGCCGGCCTCCAGAGGCCCGTCGCCTCCTCTTCTGCCGCAGGCGCCGGCCTCCAAGGGCCCGTCGCCTCCTCATCTGCCGCAGGCGCCGGCCTCCAAGGGCCCGTCGCCTCCTCATCTGCCGCAGGCGCCGGCCTCCAAGGGCCCGTCGCCTCCTCATCTGCCGCAGGCGCCGGCCTCCAGAGGCCCGTCGCCTCCTCCTCTGCCGCAGGCGCCGGCCTCCAGAGGCCCGTCGCCTCCTCTTCTGCCGCAGGCGCCGGCCTCCAGAGGCCCGTCGCCTCCTCTTCTGCCGCAGGCGCCGGCCTCCAGAGGCCCGTCGCCTCCTCTTCTGCCGCAGGCGCCGGCCTCCAGAGGCCCGTCGCCTCCTCTTCTGCCGCAGGCGCCGGCCTCCAGGGGCCCGTCGCCTCCTCTTCTGCCGCAGGCGCCGGCCTCCAAGGGCCCATCGCCTCCTCATCTGCCGCAGGCGCCGGCCTCCAAGGGCCCGTCGCCTCCTCATCTGCCGCAGGCGCCGGCCTCCAAGGGCCCGTCGTCTCCTTCTCTGCCTCAGACGCCGGCCTCCAGGAGCCTGTCGTCGCCTCCTCCTCTACCCCTCTGCTGGTCCCTCTGTTCCTCTGGGCCCTTCCTCCTGGTTCCCCTCCTCCCGCCCTGCTCCTCGTTCCTGTGGGCGTCTGGGATCCGCCCCTTGAGGGGGGGGTACTGTCACACCCGGTCATGTCTCCCCGTTTAGTTCAGCTTTGTGTCTCGTTGATTACTCCCACCTGCCTCTCGTTTCCCAATCACCTTAGCTCCCAACCCTCCTGTATTTAAACCCTGTCTGTTCTTTGTACTGTGTCGGATCATTGTTTCATTGTCCAGCGTGCTTAATAAATCCTGGTTGACCGTTCCTACCTCCTACCTGCTGCCTGTTTACTCCCCGGTCTGGATCCACGCCTTTCCTCCGCTCCACTCCGCAGCGCGCTGACACCTGTGTCCTGTGGCCCATGACCTGTGTCAGCCCGGTTCTGGATGTGGCCTTGCTGAGTTCTCTGTAGCAAGGTTTTCTGGTGCTTGGGGCGGTTCCAGAGTGCACCTGATCCAGTCTAACACTTCACATCCCAGCACACGCACGAACACATGCTTGTTGATGTTTGTGGTTCATGGTTTACATGTTTATAGTTGTTCATCCCACATTTTCTTGATGACTCTTAGAAATGTTTCTTCACAGGTGCAGCTGCTGGTTGCTGTTTTTATGTTGGTTTCCTAGTTGTATTAATTTTTCCTCTTATTTACTTGTTTATCCTCTATCAGCAGTCTTTATTCCAGATTGGTTCAGCATTTACGTGCTGATGTGGCGGTACATAACCCAAACCAATATTACTCAAGGGGAACCTCGTACACATTAAGGCTCCTCTTGACAGAGCAAATCTGTTCAGCACATTCTGACAGACAGACCACCATTCTTCTGTCAGGTTGCTGTACAGGACATTTTTAGTTTTTCTTTTCTTCATTTATAGTGCAATACTTTCACATTATCATTTTCCCACACTTTCTGTATACCTGTATTTTATTGTTTTTCAATAAAGAATGACAAATTATTTAAGTTTGTTTTTTGTTGCACACAAATATATATCTGTAAAAAAATATCTACAAAGCTAATATTTACATAACAAGTATGATTGGGTTTTGCAATACGGCACTCTGTTTATTTTAGTAAGATTTTTAAACCAAGTAAAGTTAGTAAAGAACACATTTCTATTGTCTGCTAAGAAACTGTTGGGATTAAAAATGGGCCTGTTGTACAAATAACTTGTAAATGATTATTCCTCACTTTGTAGTCTTAACCAAAAAAATTCCAGTAATTGAGCAAAAACATTTATTTTTAACACTACATTTTATAAAACAGGGCGCAAAGTGTCGGCACATGTATGTATGTCGATGGTCCGCCCCAACCGAACCAGGAGACACTGACGTCAGGGAGGCCAAGGTTGTGTCCGACGGTCTCTGCAGCTCTCTGGGCACCACGCCTCACGTAGCTGTCTCCAATGATCCAAATGGCTATGGAGAAAAAATAACAGGTTTGTCATAATTGTTTAAAGTACAAATCCATACATGAAGTGGTCAAGACAGATATTTGGTACTTACACTTGCTGCGTTGTGTAGCTGATGTTGGAGACACAGGCTGCCATGGTGACCTTTTAACAGATCTAAGAAAAAAATGTAATAAAAGAATGAAACTTAAAAACTCCCAGACCTCATGTCATATTTACTAATCAGCTGTGGCTGATTTATTGTTTGGATCACAGTGAGTTACACTAATTCTAATATATTTTTATTTCTATTACACATACATACTTTTTAACTGTTATTTTCACATGACTGTTATCAGGCTCTCTTGTTCTGGTTCTCATGATAATTCCATGTCTTCCAGTAAGTTATCTTGTGCTTACTTCATCTGTATAATGTCTCTTTACTTTTGGTAAATTGTACTGAGTCCAGAATAAAGGCTAGTTGGCTGTACAAGATACAAACAAGTAGTACGTTTTGGAAATGTATGAAATGTATTTAGGCTGCTAATTTAGCTCGAATACTAATAACTGCCGTATTTTCCAGACTATAACTCACACTATATTACATAGTCTGGCCGGTCCTGCTACATATACTCTGGAGCGACTGAACAAAATATGTAGGCTACACCACGCTGCTGCCGGCCGACTCCGACCCGCCCAAGAATGAGTTCCCCTGTCCCGTTGGGAGTGTTTCAAACACCGCCAGCATCTGTTGGAGCCTGTGGCGGGGTGCTGAGGGCCGGCTCCAGCCCAGGAATGAGCTCTCCTCGCCGGCCGGGAGGGTTTGAAACACCGCCATCCTCTCCTCTGCTGGCTGTTCATTCTGTTATGGTTACCGGTGCTTGTGTTGCAATGTGAAACGCTTGGTCTCAGATTTTGTAAGAAAAATAATAAAATGTCCCCAAAATACGACTTAAATATATTTTCACTTCTTCATTATACATTGAATGGCTGGTGCGACTCAGGAGCGATAGCCCGGAAAATACGGTACTGAAAACTTGCTCAAAGCAAAATGTTTTCATTATGGAAATAAATTATGAAATTACCAATTCAATCCTTTTTTAATACAGGTACTTCTCACGAACAGGCGCCGAAAACCTCCACCTAAACTTCGTGTGAGGTTCAGGTCCATGGGTGTTCCACAGTTAGCTCCGGTAGGGTTGAAGCTAGGTGGCTACATCCGTTAGCTCGGCTCCCACCTCCGCGTTAGCTTTGGGTTAGCCAGGGTTAGCTTCAGGTTAGCTCGTAGCTAGTTCGCCCGGGTGTCGTCAGTCGATCCCAGCCTTACAGCCCCACCCTCAGCTCCTCCTCTCTTCCCTTTTATGGAATTGTCTGGGCTGGACGGAACCTGTGACACGGTCAAAATGGCGGTGGTGGCCACCTCCCATTATAGACAAAAAACATGTTATTGGAGCCTATGGAATCGAATTGTCCAGTATGTACAGCCTATGTAATTTTAACACCTCTAAGCATCAATTACTCTCCAGATGATTGATTTGGGGAGTTTTTCCTCAGTACTGGGATGAGACTATTCTGGATCATTTCTGTGGGCAAAAAGAAAATCACTGACCTACCTTTTGTTCACATAAAAAGGTAAAAGCCACACAAGCAAAATGGGCTGCTTTTATTACCAAATATAAATTTAGAGATTTACTCCCTAACCTTCGAAGCAGAGACACGAGCGTGTGACAGGAGCTCCAGAGAGAAGCAGCCAGATAATAAACGTGTGTTTTTTTTATCCTTTGCCACATTCAGAGGATAGTGAGTATTGCGCAAGAGGGAGGGATGAAAGAGATGAGTGCAATAGCGAAGGAGATTTATTAGGAGGTGTCTCTCCTCTGCCACATGTGATCCCATGGGTGCTGACAGAAGCCCCTCAGGTCATATTTCCTCAGAAGAGCCAAGGCAGCGCTCTGCCTCCATTCTTCCATCTCCACCTCCACACAGAAGCTGACCATGAGGTCAGTTCAGCTGCATACGCTCAGTGCTGCTTCATGGAAAAGCCCTCACAGACAATATTTTTGATGTTATTTGGATGGGCAACAGGACTGATTTGTGCACTCTGTAAGGCAATAATCCTTCATAATGATTGCACCTGAGGGTGGAAAGGAACAGATCAGCATGCTCACATGCAGATGATGGAAGTGACAGCTGTGTTACTGCTCATGGAAGGAAATGAGAAAAGCAGGGGAGGATCTGACAAGACATATGCCCCCATTTCCTCGAAGAGATAAATCTTGGCCCAAAATAAATGTATACATGTCTTTCTCTTGTGCAGTTTATAAATATTCAAGGTAGAAGGTTGTGAACTGATTGAGGAAGAGGCCTTTTTAAAAGCAGTAAAACATAGATCACAGTGCTATGGTGAAATTACAAGTTGACATTTAGTTTTCGAGGACAACAATCTCTTAAGTTAAAGCAGCTCAAAACGTTTGGTTAATCAGTGTCTTCTCATGCAGTGATCCTCACTTTGATAAAGCTTTCAGTCTTACTCACTCAGCCCGAGGCTCCTTGCTTCCACAGATTAGGCATCAGAACTATCATGTGCCGGGGTGAGTACTCCTCTCATTTTCCCATCTTTGAGTTGTGTGTTTCAGGAGAGGGAGGCTCCAGCTGCAGCTGATTTGCAATCAGCGGGTCTGGCTACAAAAGGAGGATGGAGAACACTCCTCAATGCTGCATGATCACTACAGCTTGGTAGTTTCCTGCCCTCTTGCAACTCTTGGATTTTGTGCTCTAGTGTTTCTGGGATTTTTTTTTTGTGAACCTTTGGATCTTTTCCCTGTGCTTGCCTGTTACCAGGTTTTGGAATGTTTTTTTGAATGGTTTTCTGCGACTCCTCAGGATAACTCACCTGTGCCCCGTAGGATTTCCGGACGCAGCTCTCACTGTTCTCCATTCCTCCCGGTCGGCCTGCTCTCCTCACGCTCCCTCTCCTGGACACCCCACTTGAATTCACCCCAGAACCCAACCTATCCTCCCTCATTCCTACGCTCCCCTACACTCAGTAAGTCTATTCTCTGCACCCACAAGTTTAGACTTACCTTCCTGGACTCACCTGCATCTGCTCTCCCCTCAGACGCTGCGCTCCCCTTCTCGATCTCCAATGGCCTTTTCCAGTGCACCTTAAGTTCCCGTTTTAAAATAAAGATTCTTTTTTTTTTTACCATAACATCTGTGAGTGTTTGATTCGGCACGTCTTGGGTTAAACACATTCCCAAACCGTCAAGAACTGAATTAAAAATAACCCTGTCCGGTAATGGCAGAGTGCATACAGTGGTGTGAAAAACTATTATCCCCTTCCTGATGTCTTATTCTTTTGCATGTTTGTCACACAAAATGTTTCTGATCATCAAACACATTTACAAAATGCAGTTTTGAAATGATGGTTTTTATTATTTAGGGAGAGAACAAAATCCAAACCTACATTGCCCTGTGTGCAAAAGTAATTGCCCCCCTTGTTAAATAACCCAACTGTGGTGTTTCCCACTTGGGTTCAATTTCCTTAGCCAGCCCCAAGCCTGATTACTGCCACACCTGTTGCAGTCAAGAAATCACTTAAATATGAGCTGCCTGACACAGAGAAGTAGACCAAAAGCACCTCAAAAGCTAGACATCATGCCAAGATCCAAAGAAATTCAAGAACAAATGAGAACAAAAGTCATTGAGATCCATCAGTCTGGTAAAGGTTATAAAGGCATTTCTAAAGCTTTGGGACTCCAGCGAACCACAGTGAGAGCCATTATCCACCAATGGCAACAACATGGAACAGTGGTGAACCTTCCCAGGAGTGGGCGGCCGACCAAAACTACCCCAAGAGTGCAGAGTCAACTCATCCGAGAGGTCACAAAAGACCCCAGGACAACTTCTAAAGAGCTGCAGGTCTCACTTGCCTCAATTAAGGTCAGTGTTCACGACTCCACCATCAGAAAGAGTCTGGGCAAATATGGCCTGCATGGCAGATTTCCAGAATGTAAACCACTGTTAAGCAAAAAGAACATTAGGGCTCGTCTCAGTTTTGCTAAGAAACATCTCAATGATTGCCAAGAGTTTTGGGAAAATACCTCGTGGACTGATGAGACAAAAGTTGAACTTGTTGGAAGGCAAATGTCCCGTTACATCTGGCGTAGAACATCATACCAACAGTAAAACATGGTGGTGGTAGTGTGATGGTCTGGGGTTGTTTTGCTGCATCAGGAACTGGAAGGCTTGATGTGATAAATGGAACCATGAATTCTACCGTCTACCAAAACATCCTGAAGGAGAACGTCCGGCCATCTGTTCGTCAACCAAAGCTGAAGCCATCTTGGGTGCTGCTGCAGGACAATGACCCAAAACACACCAGCAAATCCACCTCTGAATGGCTGAAGAACAACAAAATGAAGACTTTGGAGTGGCCTAGTCAAAGTCCTGACCTGAATCCTGTTGAGATGCTGTGGCATGACCTTAAAAAGGCGGTTCATGCTAGAAAACCCTTAAATAAAGCTGAATTACAACAATTCTGCAAAGAGGAGTGGGCCAAAATTCCTCCAGAGCGCTGTAAAAGACTCATAGCAAGTTATCGCAAACGCTTGATTGCAGTTATCGCTGCTAAGGGAGGCCCAACCAGTTATTAGGTTCAGGGGGCAATTACTTTTTCACACAGGGCAATGTAGGTTTGGATTTTGTTCTCTCCCTAAATAATAAAAACCATCATTTCAAAACTGCATTTTGTGTTTACTTGTGTTATCTTTGACTAACGGTTAAATGTGTTTGATGATCAGAAACATTTTGTGTGACAAACATGCAAAAGAATAAGAAATCAGGAAGGGGGCAGATAGTTTTTCACACCCCTGTATTTGTCTGTGTGGGATGATTTTCTTGCTTTGGTGATCGGAAACCAAACATGATTCACTTAGAAAATTCCACTGGGGTGGTGGGTTGCTGTGCTGAGCGTTGGGCGGGGGAGCCTGCTCATCAGCACCCCAGCAGAAAGGGTCAAACTCTGGTAAACGGTGATGGTTGTACCCCATGTGCAGCAGTGCCGGGACCAGAGTGAATAGGGTGTGTATGGGGAGCATGAGTGGGTGTCCGGTGTGCATTTTTGTAAGTCTTTGGTTGCATGTGCATGTGTGAGCATGAGGGAGGGAGTGTGTGACTGTGTTTGTGTATGACTATATATGTGTAAGGTTATGAAGTTCATTATTTTCAGCTCCACACAGCTGCCCCTGTACACAGTAACACCCGTGTACAAAACGCCAAGGTCGGGTGTTCCTCAGACTGTTTACATTCCAGGAGAAGAGCCAGAAGGAGAAGAAGAAGCTTTTCAATAATCAAAGTACTTAATTTGTGATTAAAGCTATTCGAAACAGATGTTGGTCAATAATTAATCAAGTGAATGATCTGTGGAATAAAGATGTCATGATTTATGTGTTTAATGAAAACAGGACTACTGCACAGACAGACTGACCCTCATCTCCATAGAAACGCATGACACATTGTTCCAACCAATCAGAGCTTTCGGCTGCCGCAGGAGAATCTGGCTTGTTGACTTAAAGTGTCCAATCCGCTTTACTAAAACTTATCAACAATTCAGAGACATAAAACAAGGCAACGCCATTTCAAGCTCAGTTCCATTTTGACTTCAGTTCTATTCACCGTCATCCCAAAGAAAAGCACAGCCGGGCCAGATGTGTTTTCTTCTTTAAACTAAGAACTGTGAAGTTGGAGATTTTTGTCGTTTAACAACCAGATGACATCCTTTCAAAATAAGAGCACCTGCTGACGCTGCCGATCGGTACCGGGGTCGACCCTTCAGACGGGCTTTGACGTGCTGCGACCGCTGCTTCGACAGCTCCAGTACACATCCGAGGTCTCCAGACCTGGCATTTCCTGATCTACCTGGGAGGCCCCCCACTGGGTACGTACACGGCAAAATAGCAGCTCATGTCATCACTTTATAAGCCTCGTGATATCTAGTCATAACAAAGACTACCAGATTCAATGACGTCAGCCTAAGGAGTCTGAACCAACCACACACACACACACGCACCAACACAACATCCAAATCCATTTTCATCCATCACAGAGTTAGTCCTGGTAGATTGTTAAGAATTTATAATTAAGAAATTAAAGATTCTCAAACGATCCCAACTCTCTCTCTTTTCTTGTCTCAAAGTCAATACAGAGTGTTTAATTAAACTCCCTGATGATAAAAACAGCCTATTCTTCTGATTATAAAAAGTGATCTACTTACAGTGTATTAAAATACAACTCTAGATAGTTACATCACTCTATTTCGTTACATTTGGCTAGCCTAGCATGATATCTGCACAGTTTATTACACTTTGTGCCGATTTTGAGACATATTTTGGGATTTTGTCCAGTGTGTGAGTTCAGAAAAAAAAGCAAGCATTTCCCTCATTCAGCTTCTCAGAAAGGGGGGTGCACATTCATCACCCTCCGACAGGAGGCGCTGTTTCATCAAAACACCTTAAGTGCTGACGTGTGCTGACGGCCATTTTGAGGCCTACATTTGAGGGTAAACATTTCTCCTGTTTTAATACGTTGGAACCGTCTGTTTATTGTTTGTCGCGGTGTTTGTGACACTGTGTGCATCCATTTGTGTAATCGGAGACAGAAGACTCGGTCGGAAATTTATTTCCGTTCAATAGGCGCCTGATCCACGCTGTTCCTTACCGGAATACTCGTTAGCACCTACCGTAGCTTAACTTGCTAGGTAAACGCTGTAAGTCGGGTTATTACCGTAGAGAGATACTGCATCCAGATTGCGTACGCTGTTGAAACCCTTTTAACCATGGAGCGAGATGCCCGTTGGTTGATCGGGCAATTTTAAGACCCTGGTCGCTCCAGGGCGTTCGCTAGCATTAGCCGAAGAGCTAACTAGCCACTCTCGGTGAGAGGCTCGGGAACGCGTCCCGCAAAGCTTTCAAGCCGTTCCGACGCAGCGATTCTGCGTCCTTTAATCCGCTAAACCTTCCGGTACGGAGTACTTTTGGATAACGTTAGCGGCGGTTCTAATAAACGCTCCGGTGTTTAGAATCGTGACATTGCTACGGGGATCAAAGCCGGTTGTCGGACGACGCATGCGCGGCGGTCCGCCATCTTAGGTAACCAGACACGTAGCTCGACCCGCCATCTTGGGTAGGTAAAAAGACAATGATATTTTTGGCATTATTGAACAATTTTGCCCAAAATATTCATTCAACAGCCAAGCTTCCCTGTAACTAATTCTTTAATAAGTCTACAGGTAAGGTTGTTTCTAAATAAACATCTAATTAGAAAACTAATCAATGAGAAAGTTAGTAAATTAAGAAAACTAATTACTATCTTGGAAAATGGACTCAGAGGTAACGATGCAATTAACATCCCAAATTCAGGCGGCGATGCAAAGCGCTCTCCTGCCAATGATGCAAAGCGCTTTCCTCCCAATGATGACTGAGATGAAGAACATGATGAACATGATTTGCGCTCTTCAGAAAGACGGCGAGGACGTCAAACAATTCATGCGTGATTCTCAGGCGACCCGGGCAGCAGCTCCGTGTTTGCCTGAGAAGCCGCAAAATGAGACTGAAATGCTGCAGGCTGATGTTTTCACAGGTTCTGACTCACAGGAAAACAACAACACCTCAAAGGAAAGCGACAACACCTCACCGGTCGTTCCATCCGTGGCGATGTTAGGCGATGAACCCACAGATGACGACCCCAGTACCGCTACTGCTACCG